TGCCTATGGTTGTCCGGTGTGTTGCTGACTGCCGCTCTGGGCCGCTCCTCAGGCGACTGTCTGTGTGCCGCTGACGACAAACATGTCGCGGGCAAGGGCACAATTGAGCGGTCCGGCTACATATACTCCTGCCTGGTGGGGCGTGTGTACACACAGCAGCAGCAGGACAAGGTTAGTGCGCGGCGCCGGTCCGTAATCAGAGCTCTGTTTCGACACTTTCGACCATTGTGCTTTCGATCCGTGTTCGACTCGGTCGTTCGATCCGTGATTTATTTGGACAAAATATTTTGGCCAGCGGTGAATAAAGTCAATGACCTACTGAATGTCTGGACACTTGACTTCTGATCCCTAACTTATAACCGTCACCTTGGAGCTCTAGCCCCTGACCCCTGCTCCCTGACCTATACCCCTGCTTCCTGACCACTCCTGACCTGACCCCTACCTCTAATCTCAAATCCCTACCTCTGCCTTCTGACCCTTGACCTCTGACCGCTGACCTAACTTAGTTTGGGTGTAGAAACTTGCATTTGTATTGGTATTATTTGTGTAGAACTGGGTAACTGCTTTAAATTGAACTGTAACGTATGATGGTGATGCATGCGAGTTGTTCGAGCCCTTTGTAAGTTAGGATGTTACTCAATTCAACCCTACCCTACCCTACCCTACCCCTTGACGGTGAGGGTAATTTTGAGCGCAATTTGGGCGAGCCAAATATTTTTTTGAGCCCTTTGGTTGCCTGTCGTCAGCCTGTCGTCAGTCAAAAATTTGGTTATGTCGTCTGACCGCTACCCTGACTTCGGATCCCTGACCTATAACCGTGACCCTGGAGCTCCGGCCCCTGCTCTCTGACCCCCACTTCTAACCCTGTCCCTGACCCCAGACTTCTAACTTTGTCCCTGACCCCCCCCTTCTAACCCCGTCCCTGACCCCAGACTTCTAACCCCTGCCCTGCGCCGTCAGACGGAGCTGGTGGAGGTGCGCACTGGCCAGGAGCAGAACATTGTGCCCACGGCGGGCAGCGTCGTCACCGCTAAGGTCAGTCGAGCGCTACGCTCGCCCTGTCAGGGACACCCGTGGTAATCTCACAGTGGCGGGAGCCCGCCCGGTGCCCAAGCCTCAGATAGTGTGGCCCGTCCACTCAGGGAGGCTAGGGAAAGATGCACTATTCTAGGCCACAGGTCACGTCGTTAATGAGTCCGTCGTAATTTTGCTCATTCGGGTACGTATTTGACCCCCCCCCCCCTTATGAAGCTGGTCCATAGGCCACTTATGTGAACCCGTCATAACTCTGGCCCATAGGTCACATAACTATGTGAACCCGTCTTAATTATGGCCGGGGCTCATAGGTCACTGATGTGAACCCGTCCCAATTCTGGCCCATAGGTCACTGATGTGAACCCGTCCCAATTCTGGCCCATAGGTCACTGATGTGAACCCGTCCCAATTCTGGCCCATAGGTCACTGATGTGAACCCGTCCCAATTCTGGCCCATAGGTCACGTATGTGAACCCGCGCTTCCTCCGCTGTGAGATACTCTGCATAGGCGAGACAGTGTTAAAACACAAGTTCCGTGGCATGTTGAAGAAAGAGGACGTTCGGGCCACCGAACGCGACAAGGTCAAGATGTACGAATGTTTCCGACCGGGTGAGTCCTTTGAAGGCAGCTTTGAGCTCATATAGACAGTTTTTATTTTAAATATTTTCTAGTGCATTTTAAAAATCAGCTGATACTTTCGAACTGCATTAATGGGATAGATCCTGCAGCTGTTTATGGATATCGCCTGGCTCCTTTCTTCTTCTCGTTTCGGTTTGTTCCAGTTCGCAAATCTGCTGCATAATCTCAATGAGTCATTCCAAGGTACCGGAAGCCTCTCCTAGTTAGTTTAGAAATATGTTCGTGTAGTTACCCACAGTAAGTTATTCTAGTGACCGAGATGTTATAGTTGCTTTTTCTACTTTTCCTATTCCACTCGTTGGTGTGATTATTTGCTCACATCCCGGCTGGGTGCGCGGCGGTGTGTGTGTGGACAGGCGACGTCATCCTGGCCAAGGTGGTGTCGCTGGGCGACGCGCTCTCGTACGTGCTCTCGACGGCGGAGAACGAGCTGGGCGTGGCGCTGGCGCACAGCGAGGCCGGCGCGCTCATGGTGCCGCTCAGCTGGGCGGAGATGCGCTGTCCGCTGACGCAGGCGCGCGAGCTGCGCAAGGTGGCCAAAATACCGCCCGAAGACGTGGCGTTCCGACTGGCGCGCTCGGCGGCCGCCGACCCCGCCGCCGGCTGAGCGCCGACGCCACCGGCCCACTGTTGCATCGCCATCGCATTGTCTTGTCCATTGGTCGTCCATTAAGTTTCAATATAAGGGGGATATCATTGCTGAATTGTTTGTTAAGACCTTCCCGACCTAGTTTTATGATTATTCGAGACGAAGAACCAGGTTATGAAGAGTACGTTCCGAGACAGCTCCTCCGTGTGATACAGACAGCTCCTCCGTGTGATACAGACAGTTTGTTTTGTTTGTTTTGTTTTGTTTTGTTAGGCCCTTTCGGTCCAATTAGACCATTTCAGAGCCGGGAGGATGATAGGATATAGGGGGAGACATTGGTCTGGGCAGGCACCCTAGTGAGTTGCCGGGGCTGAGCCCGTCCAGAGGACAGGCCACCCAGCCCCAAGGCACTCACTGCACCCGGCTACGGGGTGCGCTCCCTCGGGAGCAGCGGTGCCGCTCCAAGGGAGCAGCCCGCATGAGATAAAGTTGCCTGTCCAGCCCGGAGGGGGTTGCGGCGTGGAGGAGAAGGATTTCAATATCCTGAGGATAGAAGCACGGAACGGTGGATACAGACAGTTCCTTCGTCTGCTACAGACAGTTCCTCCTGATACAGACAGTTCCTCCTGATAAAGACAGCTCCTCCTGATACAGACAGTTCCTCCTGATACAGACAGCTCCTCCTGATACAGACAGCTCCTCTGTCTGCCTTCCTTCCTCCGCGGCGAACCATCCGCAAACGCGTCGGTACAGTCGCGCCGATCGCCTGTATTTGTCGAGTCGGCTCCAAACGGGGTGCACGCGGGATGGCAATGGAAGTGTCGCCGACAGCGACACGCAGCGGCGGCATCAAGAACCACAGATTGCCGAGCCGACCGCCAGGCGCAATTGGCACACACAACATGAACGCTTCGGATGGAATGCAAATAAATACTGTGCGTGACAGGGGACAAATGGGTCCACTGCTGGCCCCTTTGCGGATCGGGGTGGCCGCGGTGAACCCGTCGGCCCATCGGCCCGCGCCCTGGACTGATAAGTCGCGCCAGCCGCCAGTGAATTTTCCCGGACGAAAAACAACTATCTTGCTTTCGACTAATCGAAAATTGCGACGTTAAACACCTGACAGGCTTTGGCGGCTGACCGGAGCGCAGGACTGGGTCCAGGACGGGTCACCGGGCCACTCGCTCATACCCCGACACGATGCACAGTGAACACAGACACAGCGAGACACGAGAGCCGGCGGGCCGGGCGGGCCCGCGCCGGGCGACACTACATCTATCGACCGAGCGACGCGCGCCGACACGTTTTGATTTAGACACTGATATAACGACGCAACCCACAACTCCAGATCCATCCAGCACACGGCAGATCAACCGGAGGTCCAGGCAGTCGCATGATTCCAACACAGACCAGACAGACAAATTCGTCCGCTCAGAGTGCAGAACCGATACCTATCCAATTTACGTTCAATGTTCACTGGTTCTGTAAGCTGTAATAGAGTGGTCCTGTATTCTAGTGACCCTGTGGTAACCCCAATGAAGCTTAGAGCTTCGCATTGTAGGCTGTTGGGCCTGTTGGTTCTTGGAGTTTAGCACTGGAGTCGACTGTTCGACTCGATAACAGTCCTGTGCTCTGATAGCCTTCTATCTGAATGACAACTTTTGCAACTGAGATTTTCGGCATGTTTTCAGAGCAAGTGAGACACAAACACTCAGTAATTAAACATGGGCTAGTTCGAGGTTGTCATCCCCATTGTGAAGCTCTGCTTCCTATAGTACCCATGGGAGTTGATATTCGGTGCGCATCATGTTATAAACTATGGGGGAGTTAAACTCCAGTAGACCTGTATGCCTATCCTGTCTTTGGGGCGGAATGGCCCTGGAAATCCTGCCAGAAGGCAAAGGGTTGGCTCGGGCCCAGCGGTTTTGATTGCACTGAGTGCATACGGCGGAGCGATGGTTCTGTAAGCTGGTGCCTTGGAGGTCAGCGAACTGCTAGTGCTACTTTGTCTTAGAGACCGCGCCCCAATAATCGGCCCGTGAGGTCCAAACTCGGGGGCTACTTGGACGTGTGAAAAGCACATGAAGGATAACCTTTATCCTATGATGAAACTATGTTTCATCTATTGTGGCAAAACTATCTAGTATCTATTTTGGTTTTCCAAACTTTAGGGCAGAGTCACGACAGCAGGAGGAGCGTTCAGATGTGTTGTGATGCTATTTTAGCGTGACTTTGGAAGCCACGGTAGGTTTTGGCGTGTTGGCCTTGGGCTACGTGTCATTTTATAAAGTACGAGGACGCGCCAAAATGTCTGACAAAACAGACGCGCCGCGACTGGAGCCGGGGGTAACCCCAGTCCGTCCAATGAGTCCAGATCAGCGGCCCCGCCCGGTGCCACGCACGCTGCCGTCTATTGGATAGGCGGCCGTCGAAGCTCTCCCCGCGGGAGCGGAGACGTTCTCCGGGACCGTCACGTTTACAACGTATGTCAGTTGGACCAAGTTCAGGTGGCAAGTTGCGTTTAGGGCCAGGCGCCGCACCCGGCCGGAGTACATACACATACATCGAAAATATGCCCCTGTGGGGTAATATGAAGCTGTGCAAAACGGTATACAAAGAGATTGAAAGGGAGCGGCCGGTCGCCTCCTCGGCGGCCGTGCAGCGGCCCGGCAGTGGCCGCCGCCTCTCGGAGCCCTCCAGCACTATATCACAATGGGCGGGCGGCGCGGTGCGGTGCGGCGGCGCTCAGTCGGCCGGCCGCCGACCGTTGGCTGCTGGCGGTGACCCGGCCGGCTCGACCTTGACCCGCGGGCCGGGCTCCGTCTTCACCCTGGCCGCCAGCGGGCCCGGCTGCGACAGCTGCGACATAGAGAGCGCCGGGTTGGCCACGGCGATGATGGTACCGGCGGCCGAGGCGATCACCTGCCGGCCGACGGACACGGGTCAGACACGACAGCCGGCGGTCATTGGCACGATAGGCGGAGGTCAAAGGCACCATAGGCGACGGTCATAGGCAAAACAAGCAGGCGACCACTTGCCGCCCGACGGACATGGGTCACAATCACAAACGATAGCCGGCGGTCATAGGCACCATAGGCGGCGATCATCTCACTCACTCACTCACTCACTCACTCACTCACTCACTCACTCACTCACTTACTCACTCACTCACTCACCAAATTACATACATGTAAAATCGAATGACAGCACTTATGAACATAGAACAACATCCAGAAAGCTACACACATAGCATAGATGTAACGTAGAACTAAACGGTGCACATCAATCTACATATAACGCGACTGTGCCGAGTGGCAACCAACAATCGTTCGGTAACTTCACAGACACAGATTTCATGCATCCTCGCTGCTCAGCTGCGGGTGATATGTGGAGTGCACTGAACACATAGAACCATACAGACTACATAGGTCTAATATCATTCAGCTGTATGTAGTCAGCAGCTACCTGGTCGTTTGTTCGAAGCACATCATTTATTCATCTCAGTGCAGTGGTCCGGTTTTCGGCATATTTATAGTAGGTGTCGAGGTGAATCGATTTGAGGTCGGCTTTGTAGCTAGATTATCTCAACAATTTTTAATGCATGGGTTTTCCTTGTCTTTCTTTATGATGTTTCCTTTTCTCCTCCATTTGATATGTAGACGGCGGATGGAACCTTGTGTAGAGAGCTCTGATTACTGCAAAGAAGTGTGGCTTCATGTGACCAACCACCCTGTGACTCTAATTAAAAGCACATTATTTGCTAATTGCACTATAAGCATGTGTTGCTTCCACGAGAGGACGATGCGGTACGATGTGATTTGAACTCGAGGGGGATGCGCTGAGTGGCGACAACGATGGGCGCTGTGTACCATGCACTAGCGCGCGTGCATGAGCGGGCGACAGCCAGCCGCGGGGCGGGGCCGTACCTTGTGCTCCGGGAAGAAGGTGTGCGCGCCGCCGGAGGTGGGCGGGCCGTGGCTCACCAGGCCCCTCACTACCCGCAACCCCTCGTCCACTAGCGTCTCCTGCACCAGCTACAGGTGACAGACAGACGGACGGGAACGGACCGGCAACGTCAGCGGGGCGTCAGCCGGCGGTCGCCCGCTCCGGAGACAGCGGCAGGAGGTGGCAATACGGCAGAGATACCCCCGGTGCCAGATATGACACGCTCTACTGATGTAACGTTTTTTTTTTTAATTGAAATGAAATGTTTCCGAATTTCGACTTGCTCCATCCTTTATCCAAACTTCTTACATGCTAATTGTGAAGCAGCTTCCCTCCCAGAGAAGTATGAACAAGATGACAGTCCAGGTGGGAAAGGAAGTCTTGTCAGCATACAAGATATCAGTTCATGGACGCCAAGAGCTGGTTAGCGAACCTTCTACATGACTGTTTGACAGTCGGGGGATGCTCAGAAATGATTCGGGCCCGGCCGCCAGGTCTGGTATGAGCGTACATACCTTTTTGGTGAGCCGCCGGTCAGAGGTGTCGAGCCGCGCCGCGTCTGCCTCCCGGGTGCCGTCGGCTCGGATCGGGTCGCCCTCCCTGGAGCTGTCGCCGGCCGGGCCCTGCCGATCACCGGGAACTGGCGTCACACGCACTGACGGGGAGTAATATATTACTGATGGTGTCACTGAACTGACTGGCACACATGAACGAAGGCCCTTCCTATCTAAATTCAGAGTCTTCCGTTGTGTCTAAATGTATATTATCGAATATTAACGTTTTCCCAGAAGTGTTGATTTTTTGTGTGAAATGTAATGATGTGACTGCAATTCCAGAAAACCAACAAAGAAGCATTCCTGCTACAGTTTTAACCATTGTGTTGTATTACACATTTCGTCTTACCTGCGGTGAGGCTGCACTGCTCAACGAGTACTGGGAATCGTCGTCATAGATTTCAAGACAGTTCTTGAAGGACCTGAAACAGAGGGAAGCAACATAAGTCCGCCTGTGTTCGCTTCGTCCACAAAGAAGAATCCAAACTAAGAGGCGGGAAGCCACACGGCCGTCCAAAGAACTCGGACGCCGGCTGTCGTGGCGGCCGGCCGCAGAGACAGCCGGCGGTCGGTGGCGTTTTTGGTGCACCTTCGGCTCTCTGTTCACCGCTCACTGCTCTGCACGACCGCTGGCAAAAACTGACCAATGGAAAAACGGCCGGCCGGTGGTGGTCAGCTCACAGAGAGCGGCGGTGGGCACATGTAGCGAGAGGTGTGCCTCGTAATAGTACAGAATGAGAGATGCGAGAACAGACGAGAGGCGTGAGCAGTGAGCACACAGGGAAGTGTATGGACATCAAGAGGATAGAATGCACGAAGCGGAAAAAATGCGAACGTTCGATCATATACAGGGACCAGAGTGAAAAGTCTGTTTTACTGGTGGGTGCCGATATTGAACAAAGAAGCCGTGAAGGTAGTTAGTACTTAGTCGAGAGGAAACCATTTCAAGACTGGTCAAGGTTTTCCTGTAAACAGTAAAAATATAAGTTTTACTTGTTTTCCTGTCTTTGCACAGATGTTTAAACTGTATCGCCAAAGTTCAACCCGGGAATCCCTGTGCACCCTTAGTTTTCGCATAGCCAACGACCGATTCTTTCCTGCGGCTGCACCATCGAAGTTCACTGTGTTTCAGACTGGCGTTATTTTTGTCGTTTTTTCGTCGTCCTGTTGCCGGGACGACCGACTGCCATTGTTGCGGCTCGGTCGGTCCTCGCTCCCCAGCGCCGGCCTCTGGTAGGCCACACTTTTCCCGGACTTTCGGTCAGCCGCTTTTCTGCAGCCAGTTGTGAAAATAACGAGCTGCAGACAAAAATGTGCAAGGGTTTGCATTGTATTTTTGTCGGCATTTCGTGGAACTGGCTGGCCAATAAGCGCCGCACCCAAACGCTACCCTGGGAACGGCGACTGTAACATCAGATTTGGCGAAGCTGAGAGGATATGGATGTGGTAAAGGTGGCTTGGTGGCTAAGCTAGGAGCTCTTTTAGATGTGATGGCAATCTCAGATTGGGCAGGCTTCCTTTCGCTAGTTGCCTGGCACTCCCTTTGATGGTCTCCGCCAAACTGGAGTCCCACGCTACCTCGAAAACAAATACCTAATTGCAAACCAACAATAGCTAGTACAATCAACCGACAATGATAGAGGGTGCCGGGTAACCGATAGCTTCGACCGAATTAGTGCGCCGCTGTGGTTTGCGCTGCAGCTGGTCAGCAAGGCGCCAGTTCGGAGCAGGGCCGGGGTCGGCTGCCGGCGCCCGGCCGGTGGGGCTCGCTCGGCCCGGTCGGTGCCCGGCCCCGGCGCACTGCAGGCGCCGCACGGGCCGGGGAGAGCGGGCCTATTGATCGCGGCCGGCGGCGCTGCAGCCGCCCTCCTCCCTCCGCCGCCGCTGCCGCCGCCGGTTAACGGCCCAAATATCGACCCGTTGCAGAGAACGAAACGAAACGGGAGCGCCGCCGCCGCCGCGGCCGCCGGAAAAACGGCCGGGACTTCCCTCGCCATTTGTGGCGGCACCTACAGTGGCAGGACGCAAAAGAAACCGACCATTGTCAACACTCATGCCAGACGGCTAATGCATCATCGTGTGTATTGTAATGAGTTGATGCTAAATTGTTGGTATTTGTGTTATAGAAGCTGTGTTTAAGTTCCCAGCTGTGGAACCCCGACTGTGAAAAGCGGAGCTCTGTTTTGTCGGGCTCCGTTTCCTGCTGAACTGACCGACCTAGCTTGTCAGCCGCGTCGGCTACAACCAATAACACGAGTCGTGAATGAGACTGCCGGAGCGTGCCGACAAAACAGAAACTGTGCCGCGGCCGGCCGCTGCCTGCTTTTGCCCCAGTTACCCGTTTCTTCAGTGACGGGGTTCAATGAAACTAGCTCGTCGTGATTGCTCAGTATCTCGCTTTGGGCTGCAACACAAGTCCTTCAATGCCCACATTTTTTGCCATCACCTCCGGCGCCAGGGTCGCCGATATTGGGAAAGCAAGCATGAAATCGATACCTTTGACGCAGGAGCGGGTTAAAACCACTCATTTTTGTTTTACAGACTGAGGTCTTGTTTAAAAGCACATCTTACGCGCGTCGAGTGAATCCCACCGGCCGAGCAAAGTCCGTGGGTGTGCCAACAGGTGATGTGCCCGCTCCACCGGCTGAGACGGCAGCGCTCAGCCGCGCGGTACTCACTGTTTACTCTCCTGCACGAGCTCGGTCTGCTCGGAGCGCAGCTGCTGCTGCTGCCGCTCCAGGCCGGCGATCTGCTGCTGCAGCGAGCCACCCTCGCCCTCGCCCTCGCCGGCCGGCCGCTCTCCATCGGCAGGCCCGCCCTCGTCGCCGCGCTCTTGCAGCTGGCGCAGCTGGTCTCCCCGCTCCTGGAGCTGGCGCAGCTCGTCAGCTATCTGCTCCAGACGATCCTGTGCGGACGGGAAGGTTTTGTGAACTCCGTGTCCGCCGTCAGCCTCAAGGTCCACGTCTATCCATTCTATTCTCGCCTTGCTTGATGTCAATGGATAAGACATATGAGGCATCAGAGGCTGCCATCTGATTCTAAAAGTCACACCACAAAGGAACAAAGGTATAAGTATTTCTCAAGGTGCTGAATTACCGTCTAACATTATCTGGTTCCTGATTCCCTGAGGACTGTCACTTTCCCTACATAAGCATGTTATTATCATTAACCTTCCCAACGTCTCAACTCTCAAGTCCCTTCAAGCAGAGCAGCTGAAATGACTCGCCTACCTTTATCAGCAGGGGAAACCGCTCAGATCAACCCGATCCCCTCCAGAAGGAGTGGATTCCTGCCGCCTCTCCATTCCCATCTGCCGCCCCCTCCAGTCGGCAGTCCTACATACCGCCCCCTCCAGTCTCGCCGGCCGCTCCCCTACCTGCCGCCCCTCCAGTCCCACCTGCCGCTCTCCCTACCTCCCGCCGTACCTGCCGCCCCCTCCAGGAGGGATCGCCGTTCGGGTCCGGCGGCGAGTCAGAGTCGAGTCGCATCCTCTTCCCTCCGCTGCCCTCGTCCATGAGCCGCAGGTCGCGCGGAGAGTAGCACTGGGCGCCCTGGGACCTGCACGGCACCGTCAACAGTCACAGACCTGCACAGCACATAGTCCCAGCGTCAGCCGTAGAGGCATTGTCGGCACACCGGCACTCCCAGGGAAGGCGAGCATTATAGCACTAGTTATAGCACTATAGCAAGGACGCTACAAAGAGAAGCGCGCTCTGGTGTTTGACAAAAACTGCAGCGCTGTGCTGATTTAATTATTTATAACAGCGATCGATCCGCGAAACGCGATCACGCTAACTGATCTACTTTTACGAGTTTTTGTCCCCTAAAGATGTTTTTCTGTTCCTCTGGAGAATAAAAACAAGATGAAGGTAATGCTGAAAAGTCGGTGATATTTGATTACGTCTTCAGCGGCTATATTGGCTGGAGTTAAGAACAGACTCAAAAAGCGTTGTTGCCGAGGTGATGGAGATGTCAAAGTCACAACAATCTACACTTCACTGCGTTGGTACGATGCCTCGCCTGCAGCAATGGGTTGATAATGCTGGCCTTTCATCGAAGAAAAAAATACAGAGGCTCTGACCCTTATTAGCCCCAGCCTAGCTATTAAATGCTTGCCTTATCTCGTCCTGAAAAAAAAATAATAATAAAAAGCATTGGTGCCTGTCCTCGAAGTAAGCAGTAGGCAGCCACTAACCTGGCCTGACTAACTGACCCCGAGTGGCCCTCTGACTGACCTGGAGTGACCCGAGGAATAACTCCTGACGTGGAGTGACACATCTACTGACCTGGAGTGGCCCTTAGAGTACTGGTAGCCCGAGTTGCGCACCACCTGTCTGGCCAGCGGGAACAGCTCGTCACGCCGGGTGAGCAGCGCCGGGACGTGCAGACAAATCTGCGCCGCCGCCTCGTTCACAGACACCTACCACACACAGACAGACAGACAGGGCGGTCAGTGGCAGACAGGCGAGCGGCATTTATCACCTATCACAGTCGCATATCCAATAGGCCACAGAGACTCGGAGCAGCACTTCGGTAAAAGTCGGGTTCTTCTACAGCAGTTCCGCGGACGTTCTATATACCCTGTTTCCGCGTACCTCGTGCAGGGTGAGGGGTTTCTCGGCCTTCCGTTTGCAGTCGAACCGGCCGTAGATGGCGGCGTACTCGCGGATCTTGTCCATCCGCTTCGGGTCGTCCGGGTCCATTCCGACCACGTACTGCAGGCGAGACGTCTGCCCGTTACTGTCAGACAAGCGTCACGGCCCCCCGCTGCCCGAGTCACGGCCCCCGCCGCCCGACTCACGGCCCCTCTCCGCCCGAGTCACGGCCCCTCTCCGCCCGAGTCACGGCCCCCCGCCGCCCGACTCACGGCCCCTCTCCGCCCGAGTCACGGCCCGCGCGTCTCCGACCATCCCGCCCGTGTCACCCGTCTACCAGTACCAGGGGTGGATTCCTGGAGACCGCAGCCGTTTAGTATCACAAACGGTCGTAAAAGCGGTGCGTCTGATGGACGCCGATGACGTCACATATAACGGGAATGCAAACAATGTCTGGACGAAGTGGCGATGAAGGATTAGCACGGTGACGAGCGAGACAGACCGCAAACACGAGAATGGCCGCTCCCTGCGGCACGAGAACAGGCTCTGGTCAGCGGCTAATGTGAGCCACGGCCCCGCTTCCGAATACAGGTCACCCTAACAATGGCACCGGGAGGTAGCAGGCCGTACTTCGTTACGGCTTTGTCCTTGAATGTAACCCTTCCGCGTCTGTCGAGCACCACCCACTAATCATTGCAGCTAAAAATGTTATTATCGGCCAGCAAAACCAGACTGGTCAGATGCCGGTAAAAACCGAGGTTACACATGCAAATGGATAAAAACCGGCGCAAACAGGGCGTAAAAAGCGGTCGTCCGACCGACTAGAATGACAGGATAGCAGGATGCGTGAGACAAAGCGCCGTGCCGGGACGGAGCCGGCAGCGGCGGCCGGCTACTTGCCTCCAGCTCCTTGCAGGCCTTGCGTTTGCTGCTGTGCTGCTGGCGCGGCTCGAAGTCGGGCAGCGTTTTGGCGATGGCCAGCGCGGTGTCGGCCAGCCGGCGGATCTGCGAGGCGCGCAGCGTCGGTGTCAGCTGCAGCGGCGAGCTCGACGTGGGGTACTGCTCGCCGCCGCCGCCGCCGGAGCTCTCCTCACCGGGCCCGGACCGGCTCGGCCACGGCTCGCGGCTGCTCTGCGGGCGCAGGAGGGCAGGTCAGGGCGCTGACGAACCGAGTCCTGAACCGGTACAGCGTCAGCGCCTATATCGACATTAACTGCTTCAGCTTCTGCATGAGAATCCAAACTTCCTGGTAAACTCTGCGACGGATTACACGGTAATGAATACGCCGGTTCACCTGTCAGTGTGTGGACTCACCTGGGAGTGTGACGGTGACGGCAGACTGTCCCGGTCGCGGCCCAGGCTCGGTGTGGGGCTGGCCGCTGCCGGCGGCGTGCTGCGCGCGGCCGGGGCCGCCGGCGCCGACGGCGCCCGCACCGGCGGCTGCACGGGACTGGCCGTGACGGGCGCCGCCGTCACGGTGACGGGCAGCAGCGCGGCCGGCGCGGCCGACACGGCCGCGGCCGGCGGCAGGCCGCCCAGCTGGCCCACCAGGGCGCGGCCGGCCGGCAGGAACCCGGCGGTCGGCACCGGCAGCAGCGGCACGTGGAACTTGCCTGCAACGGAGCAGCGGCACGTCGGTACGGGGGCTAACGGATGACGAGCAGTGTGGGAACATCGGCCGAATGTGGTCTAAAAGGGTTGTCTTAGCGAGGGTTACACGAGGGTATGCGATCTTGTTTATTTAGGTAAGTATAAGCATAAGTATAGTGTAAGTAAGACTTATTTAGTGTAAGTATTACGCACCAACTGATCGAAATACGACCACCTCGACCAGTTTCATACAGAATCGATCACCCATCCGTCCTGGCACTCTGCATCTGCTCCTCTCCTCCCCTCCGTGCACGTGCAACAAACCATCTCACTCCACCTATGTCGCTGTATCAAATTTTGTATTAAAAAATATGACATTAATCCCCCCCCCCCAAAATCGCACATATATAGGCTTGGCCACCGTTACATTTTGCTCTGTCCGTTAGAAAATGTTGCAGTCTCTCTCGCCGCAAACACTGCGCTGTGCACATTGCGATCAGAGAGCAATTGTCTTTATTTAGAAGACTCTGCGACGTTTTTATCGACTCGGTCTTTGTCCAGCGCTCGCTGCAATTCGCAAGCTTCCGTTGCTTTCTTGCGACATCGCTTATCAAGGTAATATGACTCTGAACGGACCGCAAAAACAGAATGCTTCGACTCCTTGCGGCGCGCAGGTGACAAAAACGGACGGACTGATGGCCGCTGGTCTGGACAGCGGCACAGCCGACCGCCCGACGACTGGCGTCCACTGCTCAGCGACCGACGCTCACCGTCCGGCGACTGACGTCCACTGCTCAGCGACTGACGTCCACTGCCCGGCGACTGACGTCCACTGTTCAGCGACTGACGTCCACTGCTCAGCGACCGACGTTCACCGCTCAGCGACCGACGTTCACTGCTCAGCGACCGACGTTCACCGCTCAGCGACTGACGTTCACCGTCCGGCGACTGACGTCCACTGCTCAGCGACTGACGTCCACTGCTCGACATACCCTCGGCTCGGCGGCCGCCCTCGTTCAGTCAGCCCCACCGGCACCCCGTCAGCCGCGGCGTTCCAGCCGAATGGACCACCAGCTGCGCTCACTGGTTTTCAGTTAACAGTGGACGTAGCTGTCCTGCTGACCGTGACTATTTGCCGTACCAGTCAGGACAGTGGCTTTCTCTGTCAGATATTTCCGTTTTTTAGGTACATGACGTTTCATAACGTGCTGACTGCCTGCTGATGCCTATTAGCGAACGCCATCAACGATAGGATGGAGGAAGGCCTCCAAGCATTTGCCTCCAGTTAATAGTTGGGAGCATTGCTATGGTTAATTTAACACGAACAAAGCTTGCAGTAGGCAGTAAGTAAGTGACTAATGTAAGAAGTTAAACGGGGGCAAATAGAACGAGTAGAACGACATCTTCTCCATGAAATGTATAGGGCGGTATGTCGGCTCTATGGCTCTAATGCACTCGTATGTCTGCCTCCGCGACGTTACAGCGTCTTCTGAGCGCATTTCAGTTGACCTGGCGACTCGCGTTTTTGCAGTCCATTATTATATTGGCTATTGTGTCTTCAGTGCACTGAAAGCTCTGTTTTTGTGACCAGCGCGATTTGTGTCAGTGTGTCAGCGCAGACTCAAAACGGTGCAGTAGTTTTTTATACGTTAGCTGAAATGCAGTAAACATACCTACCTGACTATCTATGCCTGGGACAGATTCGGCATTCACCGTAAATGAAAAACAACAGCCAGAAATGTTTTTTTGATAGTACTGCTTTCCTACATACCTATCACCTATAGCGTAAAAACAGAGCCAGGTGCATAACCTTATCGAAAGGATTCAGATTCGATGTCAAATCAGTAGGTACGGTCTCAGCATTGGCATGCCGTCAACGTCTTTGACTATGACTTTGAGTTGAGTCGGCATAAGCATTGGTAACCGCAGTGTGCCGGGATTAAAAACATGGGAGAGAAAAGACAGTGATATCCTAATTCACAGTATCCATACACTGGGTGAGGCTCGACTATTCACGTTACGGTACCGATCACGGCCGATATTTTCACCGCTAGATGGCAGTAGTAGTTAAACGCCTGAATGTAGACTGTGCCGCAGTGCCGCTCTCCGTCTCGGCGGCGGCCGGCCCGGCCGGGGACTGCAGTAGGTACCGGGTCGGTTTGGCCGGGGGCACCGTCCCCGGTCCCACGGGGCGCCACTGACCTGGCGAGCTGACCCACTCCTGGAGCGCCTTCTGCAGGCGGCGCACGTGCAGCGGCTTGGACGCCATGCCGACCAGCGCCATGATCTCGAGAAACTCCTCCTCGCCGGCCTCGCACAGCTGCTGCACGTCATCACCGCCTGACGTCACACACACACACAGAGAATGACGTCACCGTCACAGGAGGAGTCACCTGCCATCACAGCCCATCGTCATACAGCGAGGGTGACAACAGACAACAGTACGCATCACAACAGCCAGTGTCCCCTATGCCACTAGCGCAGAGACGTTAGTAACGTTACTATGACTCAAGTCAGATTCTGGCAGTGGTGAACCAGATTCAGATAGATATCATATCATGCAAACTTGAAAATGATTGCCTACGAAGATCTAAGAATGTAGATTATTGAGTGCTTGGCTGAGAAGGTATTTTGATTTATTATAACATGCAGCAAGCGACACAAAAATCCAGACAATGGTCAGCAAAATGCCTTGCGGACTGCGGTCTAACAGATAACATTGCTTATTGTCCTTTCGATGTCTCTCAACCCATCAGATGCTGTAGATAAATTTATTAGAAGCGAACTATTGTGCCAATTAAGTCTCACATGCGCACAATGACGAGCGGTAGCGACGAGTAGAAGAATGAATACGGTTAGATAAAACGTGCGAATAAGAAATGTTTGAATACGGCAACGGCATCATACGAGTCGAAGACATTATTGTTAAATGTAGATTTTTACGTTGAAGCTCAAATTGCGTTTCGACGCTTAACAGTTTATTAAACGATTTATTATGTTATTGATGCTTATGGAAAATATTGCCAGCAGTTTTTAAGGAAAAATTTTGTACGATTCCCGCTAATTCAACCGTTAGCCGACGATCTGGCTGCCTTAAATCCAGACAGGAAATGTCTTTAAACAGGTACCATTTGGCGGGATCAGAGTGGGTCGTGCAGGTGGTGTGCAGAAGCGGCTGTGGACGTGTTCCAGGTGCAGTGATCGCCGTTTTAACAGGCGACGGGAGGGTACGGCGCAGCGACAGAGACAAATAGTATATAGGAAATGGTGTGGTACGTACCGCGGCGCTTACCTTGGCTGATAAACACGTCATAGTAGCTGAGCAGGTTGGCGTGCTGCAGCACCCGGTACAGCTGCAGCTCCGACTCGTTGGTCGGCTGAGACGTCATCGTCACTGAAACACGGCGGAGGGAGTGGTGTCAGAGCGCTGTGGGGCGGTGTCACCGGCACATCGCGGGGTGACCACCCATCCCGGCACTATCGCCGGCGGACGGGGTGGTGTCAGAGCGCTGTGGGGCGGTCACCGGTACACCGCGGGGCGGTCACCGGCACACCGCGGGGCGGTCACCGGCACACCGCGGGGCGGTCACCGGTACACTGTGGGACGGTATTACATCGCGGGGCGACCACCCATCCCAGCACTATCGCCGGCGGATTGTTCAACGGCTCGCCGTGTGGGGCCTGCCGTATAGGAGTGAGTTAACCAAAACACCTTGCAGGCTATTGATAACGTTTTAAAAACCATCGCAAGAATAAGGCATCATTAAACTTCACTAGTACCACTCAATTGGCTGCAAATACGCCGTTACCGAGCGACATCTTAAGCAAGTTAAGTACGTACAGTGCATAGGCGGCGGAACGGGGGGGGGGGCACCGGGGCACCGTGCCCCCTCCTTTGATTTTGGCATTTTAACATTGGCCCCATGGGCGTTGCATGGAAAGAATGGGACCAAAAGTCGGCAGTGCCCCCCCCCTGTCCCCTAATTGAAGGTGTTCCGCCGCCACTGGGCACTGGTACAGTGAATCACAGTGAAAACAAGACGCGAAAGGGAACGACTGGTTTTGCCATCAAAATTATCACACAGGATGTAAAGGAATGACATCGACGTTGCGATGTAGCTTCTAGCCAGAATTGGCAGGGCTGTTTGATTGCTCCCTTAGGTATATCAGCCCTCGGCCGGCCGTCCCGCCGCCCGCTGTGTGTGTAGTGAGCAGCCATCACCACACGTGTCTCATCCCGACACTCGTCCGTCCTTTGTGTGCGCTGATCAATCCGGCCACGTGCCGCAGCCGACGCGTCGTCTCCGCCGCGGCCGCGCCGTTTTTCGTCGGCCGTCATTGACCCGGCGCTACACGCGCGCCGTCCCATATTTTACAGAGCATCGATTGCGTTTTCCAACCGCCGGGTTCAACGGAACGGCGCCGACAGAGGGTCGTCGGCGAATGATTGGTCAGCTGGCCGCCGCACGGCAGCACCGTCGCCTCCTACGCACACCGACGATTCAGGGGGGGGGGGGGGGCTGACACCCGTGACTGGTGACACCATACGGGTCACGAGCCGCTAGCTATAGGTAACGGAGCGACGTCTTTCGTTTGGATGTCACGTGTCAGGAGTTGTGTTACAGCACTGAAGACACATCATCCGTGAGTTATCATAACGTCTTTTTCATTGCATCTTAAAATCGTTAATCTTAAACACCGAGCCCGAGGAATAAGGTATTTCCATGCATCTTTACGATTTTTGTAATGCAACGATGCATCACAGATAAAGCTTTCCAGTGAAGTGCCCAGAAGACACATCATGTTGCTGGGCAAATAGCTTAACGACAACACACCTAAATGACATTGGACTGCATGATAAGGTAAGGTATATAAAGATGTAACCACCCCTCCCCCAAAAGCTAAGGGATTCGCAGCTTTGACGTTGCATAAATCGCTGTTGCAAAGGTTATGTCTGTCACGCACCGACCCGATGTAGTTCACCTATTGAAATATTGCATACACATGAGATGTCTCAAGGAGTCGCTCCACTCGACCTTGAGAAGAGCGGACGAGAAAATATTGATCTAAGGGACCGCTCCTTCATTAATGTCGGGCGTTTAACCGCGCCGGTGAAAAGCACCGCCGCGATATCGCTGCAACTTATTACACACACACCTCTGGTTAGATCGGCGTGTGTTGTTGAAACGTCCAATAGTCCCATTTGATAGCGAACAATCTCCATAAAGTCTGCCCTTTTTTTCGGAGGATGTCACATTTTAACCTCACTGGAATGTGATAGCCGCTCGGCATAACACTGAGCTATGAGCATTTAAGCTCAACCCATCAGCTACGCAGGCTGGCGAAACCATTGCCAGACATGGTCTCTACAAAATATGAACGTTCTTTTACAGCTCACAACTCGGGAAACAACCAGTGACACTAAACGTCACACGAAGCCGGATAAACAGGTGACCTAGTGGTGACCCAGCGACCCAGTCCCGACCCAGCGGGCCCGTCGCCGACCCTCTCCAGCAGACAGCCGACCCCGAGTAGCCGAGCCTCCATGGTGTCGCTGAGATCGTGTGACCGTGGTGTGGCTCACCGGGTGAGGATGGGTCCTCACGTGGGTAACCAACTGCCAATAACAGACCTCGGGGACCTGAATGGGAAGCATGTAGCACAAGCACCGCAAGGAAAATGGGTCCTTGCACGCTTTCCAAATAACTCGATCTGAGGCTTGTTTTAACAACGGAAAAAATCGCTGACCGTGGTCATTTTGAGGCGTTTAAGTCGCCCGCAAGTTTCACCATGGCCACGCGAAAAGGAATCTCAATATCGGCCAGCAAGATATTTTTTACACCAGCATTATTCGCGAGGCTGGTGGAAATTTTAAACGAATTTAGAGCCTACAAATAGCCACAGCCAGCGATTTTTTTTCTGTTGGTAAAACTGGGCTTCGCAAAGGTCTACACGCTCGGATAGGTTCGGCCACGCTGCTTGTTTATTGAGGGGCGGTCTGCAAATTCCTTCCGTCCGGCAGCGGCTCTGAAGACCAGGGGCGCGGGAACTAGGTACTTTCAGACGGGGGGGGGGGGGGCACACCATAATAGAGATCAACCTAGGGTACCCGCAAATCTAGTTTTCTCACCGGTTTTAGGCCACTTATTTTTCATCCCTTTACCTTTTCAACAAAAAAAAAAAACATTTGCAAAAAAGTGCGGTATTCCGTCTCAAAGTTGTGAAGGCACCGCCCCCACGGCCCATGAGTTGTGGGGACAAGCTGCCCCCACTACCCCCCGGTTCCCGCGCCTATGCTGAAGACTCGTGCCTAGCTCCGTCGGCCTGGGCTCTATCGACTTTGACTCATTGCGGGCTGTCGGCGACTCTGACTCTGACTCACCGCGGGCTCACGGCTCCATCGACTCCGACTTCCCGTGGGCTGTCGGCGACTCTGACTCGGACTTACCACATGATGCCTATGGTTCTGACTGACTCACCGCGGGCTGCCGATGACTCTGACTCTGACTCCTCTGCGGTGCCGGCCGGCCGGCGGCGCTGCCCCGACAGGCGCATCACCAGCGCAGGCATGCCGTCACCGCAGGCCGCATCGGGACCGTCGCAGGCGACGTCACACACCGACCGACGGACCGATGGGCGCCGCGCTCGCCGCCGACGGTCGTCGCGAGCCGACTGGCGCTCGCGCCGCGTCGGCCGCCGGCTCCCCGGCCGCGCCGGCCGCGAAAAACGACCACAAAAACAGCCCTCTCTCGCAACAGCCGAACGCGAGAAAAACGCGTCTTGCCCGCCGGCGAGTCGGGGGCGGCAAAAAGCGACGCGGCCGGCCGGAAAAAGTGGCGAGGGTGGCGCGCTGGCGACGGCCGGCCAGCTGGTGCCGGTTTTTAGCCGGCCCGCTGACCGGAGCCGGGCGGCCGGCCCGGCGCCGGCGCGTGACGGCCGGTGCCGCTTTTTGTACCGCTCCCTGGTACAGCCGCCGCAGGCAGTGGACGGGTACCGACAGGTACCGGTACCGGTAGCGGCACAGGCGGCTATCGAGTACTTGCAGGTACCGGTACAGGTGGAGGCTACCGAGCACCCATACTCGGCTTTTGGCTGGCCGAGTATGGGTACGTTTTAGTTACTGAAGAGGAACCTTGAAATGAGTTAACGCTTTCACTCCGCCCGCGCCCCGTAGGGCTACCGGCGGACCCTACCACCCGTATAGGGGGGGGGGGGGGCCGTTTCGGCCCCCACCTAAGATCTCGGAAAGTTACCGGCCGATTTTCAAAATTCAAACGGCGTTCGATAGCCCCACCCGGGAACTACCTTGTGACCAAATTTCATTGACCTAGGTCAAACCGATGACGTCACAGGTCAGGTCAAAGGTCAGATTTTCACCGTTCACAGGCATTTCAAGAAATGTGTTGTGAAATCGAGTAAATTGGTAATTTATTGAAAACCATCGATGGTACATTGTTCGTCAAACACATACTTTGCTATCTGAGGTCTTTGATACCAGGTCAGGTCACAGCGAGGTCAGGTCACCGGGGGTCACATTATGAAAGTGTCGTGTGATACATGTTTTATGGTCCATTTTACATGACAAATGCGATTATGTGGGTTAGGCAGCCTTTCGGGCCAGCCTAGGTCACGTTTTGGTGAAGGTCAGGTCAAGGTCAGGTCAAATTAGGTCAAATTTCAAAGTTGATATTTTTGCATAAAATGGGTATCAATTCGATGCAGCTCGTCACGGGGAGTCTAATGGTGGTCTTTGTTTTGCTCTACGAGGTCTAGAATTGCCAAAAATTGCGTTTGAAAATTTGACGTCATCATTTTTGAACAGTTTTTTCGCTATAACTTGGCCAAAAAACGAGGTATAGATCTGAAATTTGGTATGTAGATAGAAGACGGTAGGTACTATCACATATATTCCGGTTTTTTCGAAACTCAAAAAACTTTTTGGATTTTTTTGGCTAATATATCCAAAAAAATGCTTTTTTGATTTTTGGGGTCAAAACTCAAAAATTTCAAAAATCCGAGATGGCAGTTTTGTAGCCCTGTCAATTCTACACCTTTTATGTCTTGATCATTTTTCTGTATCTTCAAAGCTGTAGGTCTGACAGGTCTTCTCGCGAAGATCTTTTTTCGGTCGAAAATGACAGAACATGACGTCATTCTGACGTCATTTGTGGCCAACCTATCATAGCCTCTGGAAAAAATTTTGGTCACAATGTGTAAAATTGATGCCCGGAGGGGTCCTGAAAGTTTGGTGGCGATATCTCCAGCCGTTTAGGAGATATCGACCGAAAAGGACAGGGGGGGGCCGTTTCGGCCCCCCCCCCTACGGGGCGCGGGTGCGATTCAGCCTCCATGTCTATCGCATGGGATGCCCCTTAGGCATGATAAGTAAACAACACGCCGACACAAACAAACCGGGTACATCTACATAGTGGAAACGGTGGACAGGTGTGAATTTGCAAGTATAGTCAAACAGGGTAGGGGCCTGGGTGCTTCATGAGTGCTTCCACGCATTATTGTGTACTTCATGAACTCGATGTATAGTTACTTGTAGGATGAACCTTTACAACCAAGTTCAACATCATTGAAGACAGATCCTAGACGTTCCACAGCAGCAACACGATGCGTCCTCGCATTTCTCCACTATTATTCTGATATTGTTCTGCAAAACCACCCGTTTTGAGTACCTATGCATTATGATCACAATGCTCTTTGAAGCTGCTTTTTGAAAGATATCTAACCAAACAAGTACCTATAGGCCGATACCGGCGGAAAATATTCCAGGTGACCTCAATTAAGCAGGGGCCCGAACACCGCTGTTCAGCCTGCCATGAGAGCGGAGCCGGGAGCGACACAGCGTGCCGGCCCATGAGTGACAAATGCTCTCCACTGTTCAGGGAGTGACGAGGACATTTGTATATGTACGAGTCAACATCTGTGCGTCACGTCACAAAGGATTATCTTCGGGGCTTCTGCCGCCTGTTCTGAAATAGTAAACGTTTGTGCAACCAGCTTATATCACTAATCGCTTAGATGAATAGTCCAACTCGGAAAATCACTACCTATCACCGCAGCTCGTTTTATCAACCGCGCGACAGTTAGCAATGAACGGGACGGAGAGCATCACGCCGTCTCCATGTATATTGCAGGGGACGGACAACTTTTGTGGGAAAATCACACCAAGGGCAGCGGATCATCGAACAGTGCATAGCCGTTGGCTTTCTCGCGCGGAGTTTGCTTTTCCCACGCGTTCGAACTGCGAAATTGCAAGCGGTCCGTTGCAGCTCGGTATTATTCAACAACCATGCAACACCCTTTGATATCTCCCTTCCCTCTCACTACCGAGTAAACACGGTTTTGCATACAGCTTACAGCAAAGACACGTCTCTTTCATCCGCCAGCTGCTCCGGCAACCAAAGTGAACTTTCTCACGACAAATGTTGTTGCAGGCCGCTGCAATCTGTGATCGGCAGCTGAGAAGCCGAGGAGAAAAGGCGCTAGCAACAGGCTCTGAGAACGCGCCATGCAGGAAAAAGCTTCCCGGTCTCACCAAACAATCAGAAACAAGATCAGTTTCGCTGAGCAGAACTCTTCTGTCAGAAATGGTTGTCCGTTAATCTTGAAGCAAGCTTGAAATTGTTGACAAACAGGAGGTTAGCGAAAGAGGAGGAATGATTATACACCTTTGTCCGTCCCTCACTGTGGTCATGAACCGTCGCCCCGTGTAGAGCGATGAGAGAGAGAGAGAGAGAGAGAGAGAGAGAGAGAGAGAGAGAGAGAGAGAGAGAGAGAGAGAGAGAGAGCTTCGTTGATCGAGTCTGTGCCTGCACCACTATTAACTAGTGGGACAGAGTTAGGGAGTTGTCAGGTGTCTCACTAACTATCGTGCAATATAGCTCATGATCACTCCGAAGGAATGCGACACCCCCATTATTCCGTCGCTTATCTTGATTGTGATTGAGTTGAAAACATGCAGCCACGCTGATAAAAAAGTTTACATGAGCTTGTAGTTATGCAGCAATAAATTACTAACAGGCCTGCAGTATAGGGGAAGCCGGGGCTAGCGCCTGGCATAGAAAGCTCTTTTTCATTTTTATCAAACATCTTGCGGCTGTATAAAATGTTGATATCCTCTTAACTAGATACTTAGATATCCTCGGTTATTTGGCCGTGTTTTCCCAAAAACTTGGTTTTATTGAACGAGTATGAAGTTGCAAAATTCGAGTTTCAAAAACAGTATCTACCTATTGATTTTTTTGGGGGGATATACCCGGCATAGGGGTAACGCCGGCTTCCTCTCCAGCGCTTAAAGGCCGCCCCACACTGGAACTCGCATGCAGGTTGCGAGTTTGCGGGTTTCGAGTTTGCGCCTTGCTGGCATAATACTAATTCATAGAGTGATTAGACCATTCCCTTATGGTAGCTTCATGAATGCAGTGAAGCCGGTACACCTTCGGGAACTTACATATAGTCGCAATACCAGCGCAACGAACCAAGCTTCGACTCCAACGAAAAACCCGCAAACCTCGCAGAACTCGCAGACCTCGCAGCGAGGAAAATCGAAAGTTGACTCAAAATCAACTTTTGGAATGCGATGCAAGGTCGCTCGCAAGCTAAAAACATGCAGACACGCTTGCTCGATGGTAGTGTGGGTCACTCAGCTTAGATTGTATTATTTGACTTTGAAGAAACCCGAAAACCCAAAAACTCGCAACCCGCATGCGAGGTCCAGTGTAGGGCGGCCTTAAAGGGACCCTCCCACCTTAAAAAAGTTAATGAATTGGCATAAAAGTGATGTACCGTGAATCAGAAAGAGCGAAAATGAACATCTACCAAATTTCACCGAAAAATATTCACCCGTTTTTGAAATATAAGACTTTTATTTTATAACACGCGGTCAATGGGCTTGATGACGTCATCAGAGTTTATGTTTATGTTTATGTTTATTTTCTCATCACCAACAGGTACAGATAAAACCCGGTTACAGGTGAAGTTATGGATAAAAATAAGATAAATCTATATAAATACACGCAACCCTTCGGACGGACAAAAGCTCAATAAAAGCCAGCTCGTGCAGCATGGAGCCTTACAGAGGCCTTGTACACTGATATCGGAGAATAAAAGAAGTCTAGAGATGTGTTGTCTCTTAAAAGCTCATTGCACCTCGATGGGATACGGCAGAAGGTATTGTTTTTTATCGTTGTCACTCGAGCAAACGGCACATGCCAAAGAGCTGGGGACCTGTTGCGTCTGACAGGTGTCGACAGCTGAAACTGATGTAGCAGCTGAGGACAGTCAATGTGGCCGTGAAACACACCGTAAAGGAACATCAGGTCATGTTGCATGAGACGTGATTTGATCGAGGGAACGTTAAAATGCTGAAGTAGGTGATCATAGCTAAGATTTTGTGAGCAAGTGTCACTAGAACAGGCCAGCCAGATGAGAAATGTGTGCTGAATACGTTCGAGTCTTTTGAGGTGAGTCACAGCTGCACCAGACCAGACCACACTGCCGTATTCGATGATGGAGCGAACATGAGCGTAAAACACAGACAGCAAAGGCTTAAAACTGACCCTGGCGCGGCGCGGGACGGCCGATCGCTGCATGCTTC